CAGGAATTACCTAATAGGTAGCTAAGTGTTTTATATATATATGTGTGTGTGTATATATATAATCTTATTATCCACTCTAGAATTTCCTCCTTTTGTTGTTTTTCATTATCTTAAATTTACTTGCTTACTGACATATTTGCAGTTGCTAAAGTACTTTTTGCCAAGCTGTACTGTTCGAAAGTCATTCTGCATAGAAAATTCAGTCTTGTGTTAAAGAAAAACAAAGTAATAAATTTAATGATACAATTTAATTAATCTTTTATTATTACCATCTTTGAAGCTTTGGTGATAAATTGCAGCCTCAGCCAAAAGCACTTCTCGTGATTCATTGCTTGAGACCAGCACTTAATGTATCATCAAAAGTGGACACCTTTCTTTATTTCATGGGTTATTTAACTTGAGAAAGGGAAAGTAACACAAACCTTAAATTTCTTACTCCAGCTATTCTTTTTTAGGAGCCAAAGTCAACATTTATGTTTCCTCAGTGCCTCTCACTTTCACCAAGGAATGTTTAGAATCTTAAATTTCTACGTTTTTATGACAAGTTCTTCTGTGCAAATGCATTGGTTTTGTTGAGCTAATGCTGTTTTCCTGGATCTTTCCTTCTTTTCCTGTCTGTGCTTCACTCCCTTCCAACTTTGCAATGTAGCAAGCTGAACAGTTGTTCAATCAGATGTACAATCCAGTAAGTTCTTTTTTAAAATGCCCGCTGTAACATATGAAAGCATGAGGATCCATTCCCTTACTGTGTTGTGCTCTTCCTCCGTGGAGCTTTGCAGAATACTTCTGATGCTCACTATGCTACATTCACTATATCCACATCAATGAACCTTGTGGACTTCAAGGCCGTTTTAAGAATGTGAAATGTATTTAGTAGGTACATACAGTGTTTCTGAGAAAATAAGCATCCTAGCCTTCAGGTCCTCAACTTCTCCATTAGAAAAAGTATGCAGATGATTTTAATTTTTTTTCTTTGCTTTGCTTTTTAATTCCTCCTGCTGCAGTACTTTATTTGATCCTTCAAACTCAAATAACTTCTAATTTATTCAGTTTATCTTAAGTGACCGAGTTGATTATGTGAATATGAGTAATAATATCTAGGAAGTGACTGGTGCTATTGTCAAAATTCCATACGATTAAAATCATATAGTTAAAATAGTTCAGATGGGTTTTACTCAGAAAAGACTCCATCTTTGCATATATATTAAGAATATGGAAACATTGTATGTAGTCTAAGAAAATGCTGACATATAAAATGATGAATGCAAAGGGCAGTGTTTGAAAAAGCCAAACAGTATTACTTCGGCTTGTTTAGCGTTACTATTCTTGCCAATGTCTGCTTTAATTGAGCAATATCTGCCCTTTTGACTTGACTGCGTTCCTTTTTCAATTTGAGGAAGAGCAATAACAAACATTTTCTCTGCAGAGAACAGTTTTCAGTTTTTGGCTGAGATTGTTACATTTAGTGTGCCGTGAGCATCACAGGACAGAAAAAATGATGTAACTGTAATAGTAGTTTACAAGCTATACTTTACATAGTAATCATAGCTGGAACTACCATGTCTTTGGGATAGTATGTATTTAAGAACTGGTTTTGTAGATTAAATAATGCGGTACTATGCATTAAGGAAGATATGGCCTTCACTGAAGTCAATGGGAATTTTGCCATGAATGTCAGTGGAGCAGGATTCCAGCTCTGGAGTCTATTATTGCTAAGTTTTGTAGCTTCTAACCACGTAATGGATATGTCAGGACTTATGTATGGGAAAAGAGAGTCCCGCAGAATGTGCTGTATTTACTTTTAAAGTTGGCTAACTGTTTTTAGAATGCAGTCATAAATTGATTGTAAGTAGCACAAGGCCCGATATTATCACCTTTACCATCCAGCACACTGCTGGTCAAAGAGCTTTTTCCTGTGAATGATAAAACTTTTTTTTCTGTATCATCTTGGATCACCATTGTGGTAGTTATGTTTCTAGTCATATCATTTGCACTCCTACTGTGCATGTCTTTCCAGACTGGAGTCTTTTTTGTGTTAGTTTTTCCCTTTATTATCATAAAGGCTTTCCAGTCATTATTTCAATATTAGTTATTCTGCTTTATGGAATTCGTTTGTTACTTCCCAGTCTATTTGTGTGTGGTATTCCAAAGTCAGTCAGTCCTTTTTTTATTTTATTTTTTCTGCCTTTATGTGCTTAATTTTCAAAAGGAGAGCCTGTTGGCAGTTCCAAAATAATGGATGCAAGATCCTTTTCTTTTGGCACCAGGCAGCAATCGTAGTATATCCACGAGACAGGTTTTCTTAAATAAACTTTTCTTGCTCATCTTCTTTCTTCTCCTACTTACATATATCAGTCTACTTTTAAAAATGTAAGTAGTAATGATCCTCTTCTCCCCCCAAGCCACCTAAGGTCTTGAAATGAAATCATGATTTGATTGCAGTCAATAGCAACATACTAGAATTCCACAAGGCCAAGATTTCACCTTTGTACTTTGAGGTGGCATAATAGCAGTTACCTGAAAGTTACCTGTGATTTTTGTACTGCAAATCCTTATGATACTTTATTTAATAGAATGTTTCCTTGACTTTTTTTTTTGTTTGAGCATTATAACGTTATAAAAACCCATATGACAATTTAATCTTAAAATACTGAAGTTTTAATGCTCTTTTGTTTACATGTGTCAGAGGAATAACAGCCAATCTCGAGTAGACCTCTTTTAGCCCATGCAGTAATATAGCACTTTTTTTTGTGGTGGAATGTGTTTTTTCTACTATGTCACCCAGGTATCAACTCCAAGACTTTCATATATTGCTGAATCTAATGTTTTTAAAATACAGCAATGGATAGAAGTATTTTATTTTTATACACATTTGGGTACCAAAGTGGAGATGATGCAAAAGGGGGGCCAATCTTGCATACTCTAGTAAATGGTTTCACAATGTATTCACCTGTGTGAATAAGACATGAACAGAATTGGGTGCATGTTTTTTTCATGTTTGTTCTGAAAGCTGAACTTTTTGAAATAGTCAATGAATCCTTGTGCAAAATTGTTTATAAGAAGTTACACGATTGTTTTTGTCCTGTAATGAAAATACAATGATGTACTTAGTTTGGAGTTCTGGTGAACCTTTTTCTGAATAGTAAGGACTTAATTTTCAAAATGCTTCATCAGAGCAATGCCAGATTAAAATCTAAAGTACTTGCAGAATCGACTCTAAATTATTTAGAGCAGTCCCTGAAGTTAAATAAAAAACCTTTAAATTTAAGGAGACTACAAAAATATTAATGTGACAGCATTTTTGTTTGTTTGTTTATTATTGAAAGTAATAGAATTTGAAGGATCTTACAAAGTATTTTCTTGCATGTATACTCTGCTGTTCCTTTTGGTTTTGTTTTTGGTTTTTTTTTTTAAGTACTCGGTTGATTTCTGTGTATGTTTGTGTCTGAAGCTTTAAAAATAAAACACTTCATCCATTTCTGTCATGCAGAATAATGCATGCATGATTGTAGCATAAAATTTTACTAGATTAAATAATTCATGTTGCATGTCTGTGCCACACTATTACAGTGTTTCTGTACGAAATTTGTGGTTTACGTGAGGAAATGTTACTTTACTTCTAAATTATTTGTAGTACTTATTAAGCAAATGTCAGAACAGATACATAATTACTGTAAGAATTAGTGAATATGCCATTTTTATTGAATTGTAAAAATGACATACAGCAAAGGCACAAGACTGAGAGACAAAACATCATAAATCAAGTGTGCTAGTTTGAAACTAGCCCAATCTACACACAGAAGTATTATCATTTACAGATACAGATTAAGAGATCAATTACTTTGCTGAAAGGTATGTATGAACCACTCGCTCTTCCCCATAAAAGCCCCATAAAAACAGAAAATGTATTCTCCCCAAGAAAACAGAGAATTTAATGAGAAAAGGAGGACAGAAATGAAAAAAAAAAAGGGGGGGGGGGGTAGAAGAGAGGACAGCAGTAATAGGTAGAGACTTCCTGATTGACGTGATAACCATGCAGCTTCTGGTTAGAAGTGATCCAAGCCTGTCTCCCGCAGCCTGCAAAATAGCCAAAGAAATCTGCCCTGTCCAAGTGCAAGCAGAGTCAATATCAGCTGAGCTGCCTTTCATCTCCTTTCAGCCTACTGTTTGACCTCAGAAGTCAAGTTCCATCTGTCAACAAATCACCCCCGATCTGTATGTAACAATTAAAAAAAAGTACCTAGTTCAAATCCAAACACGGCTTTCAAAACCATAAAATATAATAGGGCTCTTATGAGTAGTTGTATGCCTTGGGCCTGGGAATGTCAGATGGATTGTGTTTTGCTCTCTGGTAGTATCAGCAGCTTTGTTTACAACATGAGGATTCCCTTCAAGGGACTCACTGCAATTTAGACTACCACCTGCAGAAAGCTCTTTTTAAAAAATGTTTTATGTTCTTGCTCTCCCTTTTTAACTAACTTTCCTTTCCTTCTTCTTTAAGGCAATGCCCTTGTAGAAATATGACTCTTGCCAATAGTCCAAAAAATATTCTATAGGAGGTGCTTGTAAAAGTACAGGCAACCAACTTTACTGGTGGTTTGCAATACTGGGATCGTTTGTTTGTTCAATAGATTAGAATAGCCTTATACTTGTCTTTGAACTGAATGCTTATATTGATTTGTATGGGACATATGGATAACTGCGCTGCACCTCAAAACCCTGTATAGGTTGCATACTTGATCATATTGGATTTGATCATATCTTATAGGTTCCGCTTTGTGTTGAGAACCATGGGGAAATACAATGACCAAGTTAGTGCTACGTAGTTTTCCAAAAGCACATCCCACAAATATGGAATGGCATGAGTACCAGAAAGCACAAGAGTTGAAAATACTTTCGAACCTAACATTAATTTCCTTAACATGCTATTGAGCAAGGATTATAGGGCTAAATGGAAGAATAAAATTTATAGCTATTATTTCAGGTGATGTTTTAGTTATAAGCTGTGCAGTAGATAATTTGTTCGGTACATTTCTGAGCTGCTGTGTGACAGGGGTATTCTATGATAGCTGAACATTTGGCACCTTTGCATTGGTGACTCCATCATGTTCTTGCCCAATTATGTATTTTCATCATAGAACGTCCAGCGTAGTGATGAAGAGCAAAAAAAGGACAGGCTTCTCTATTTCTTCTGCATTGCTGCTTGTCCTGGGTTAAAACTAGGAGTGAAAAAAAGTTTGGGCTGAAGCTGAGAGTTCCTGTATGCTAAAGTGAAGAAAAAAATGGTTAGAAGCAGGGAGATGGGTGTTTTGCCTGTTTATGAAATTATGGAAGCAAGGCTGGTAAATAAGTGAATTGTACACTAAAATGAACAGAAGGGAAAGAAAGGTGATGGGGGAATATGAAAGAGTGATGGCCTCTAGAAGGGAAATGTGAAGTTCTGGATTTATCCTCAGGAGAGGAGGAGAAATCTGAAGAGCAATAGGGAACACCACACTCCTTGCAAGGTTTTCTTAGTATCTTAGAGATTGGACTTGGGTTGTATTTTTTCTTTCTTTTTTTCCTAGAGTGAATTTACCTTTACGTATGGAAATATATTTATTCTTTGCAAAAGAACACTTAGTGTTCATTTTGGAAAGATAAAACATTGTCTAATTTCTTAATAGAGTTGATGGAAAATTGGTTTGCAGCTGGAAGTTGATACACAGTCTCTCACATAATTAGCCCTGAGTCTGAGTATTGCATTTACTTAAAAAAAATTACAAAGCTTGCTGAAAGTAGATTTCTTGACACAGTTAACACTAAGCATAAAATAAATAAGTTTATTATTAAAGCAGGAAGATTTGTGAGGATGAAGAGGAATGTGTTGCTAGCTTTTCACCCAAACATTACAATCAAGATACTCATGTGATGTTACCTTGAAACAAGGTGTTAGTAAAGTCATGTATCTGCATAGAATTCAGGGCTGGAGCATGTATTATTATCCCAAATAGAGTATTTGAAGAGCAAGGCCAGTAAGTTCAGTAGACTTCTCACGTCATTCCCTTGGCTTATTTTGGTAACCAACTATTTCTTCTGAATAAAAATCTCACAGTGGGATATATAATAATTAAAATCTACTATCCTTTTTGTTATTATCCTCATGCTTAAATGATATGTTACATGCAAACTCCCTAAGTTTCTTCTGTAGTAATTTCAATTTTTTAATTGTTGTATTTATACTAAACCCAGACCTGTTCTTTATTTATACAGAAAATTTTAACCATTGCAAAGAGTATGAACCTTCTAGTATCTGTAGTTTATGAATTCTTTCCAAAACGCGCATGTTTCATTTTGATCTGCATTTCCTTCTTTGCTTGCTTGCATTGTCTGTTCCCTGAAATTAAGAAGATAAATAAGTCCACGTCTTCTCTGCGTAATAAGATAGTTGGAGGACCTTCAGTTCTAAATATCCTGAATTTTTGTGAAATTCCTGTATGTCGAGAGAATGTTATCTGAATTTTCTATGTTTAATGTGCACTGCCTTAAACTACTTGTTTTTTCCTTGCCTGCTCTTTCAAGATGCCAATTAGGAATAATGGGAAGCAAGGGGTAGGCTAAGCATTGCAGTGCATTGTTGTTTCCATCTGTCTGTGATTATTCCAGCCAACAGTTTAAAGCACTTGATGCCAGATCATGCTCCCATTGAAGTTAATTGGTTTTGTGCCATTAGGTTTGATGGGAGTAAGAGTGGGCTCTGTACTGTTGTTGTATTCATTGCGTTCTTTCTTGTCTGTGAAACTGCCACCCATCCATGCATGTGTTTGCCAGGTTTGTGCCGTTTTCACCAATGGGCTTGTTCTTCTGATGTTTCAGGTTAAGTATTAATGATAAGAGAAAAAGGATTATTGGGTAAAATGTCTGCTGCAGGCAACTTTTTAGTTTATCCGTTTGTCTTTTAAAAACAGCACTGCATAAAAACAATTTCTGCCTTTTAAATTCTTTGTATCGAACTGCATTTGAAACATGTGGTGATACAGATTACAATATGTATATACGTATCTATGTGTGTGTATATATACATGGATGAAGTGTTTGTGTATATATGTGGGGAAAGAGAGAGAATATGCTTTATTAAGAAATTGTCCATATATTTGAAACACTTTAAAAGCTTAATGTGAACTAAATGAAGTACAAGGTGCTTTTTTTAATTTAAAAAACACCCTGAAAATACGGTCGCTTTAATATGTAAAAAACCATAATAAATCCCCTTCCTCTTCAGGGCGAGAGCATTTGACTATAATTTTAGGCTATGAACATATTTTCATTCCCTTTTATAATCTGTAGAAAATATTGTCATCAGACAGAAATACCCATAATCCTTTTTAATGAAAATTTGAACTCCAAGACTGAAGAATTAAAGCTCTTAAAGCTATATAAATTATTGTCATCGTTATTTTTTTTTAAATATTGATTCTGAAGGCTCATGAGGCTGAAGAGGAGGCACGGATGAATCCAGAATTTGCAGACAGAATGAAACAGCTTGACAAAGAGGCATCGTACTATAGAGAAGAATGTGGCAAAGCTCAGGCTGAGGTTGACAGACTTCTAGAAATACTCAAGGAGGTTGAGAATGAGAAGAATGACAAAGATAAGAAAATTGCTGAGTTAGAAAGGTAATTCTTGTATTATTTATCTGGCATTTTTATTTACTTGATCTTCATTGCAGAGCAGAGGAGTTAAGAGTAGAATACGCTTTTTAACAGAATATTTGTTATGTCTTGTAAAACTGAATCAGAAATGCAAAGAAAAAAAGGCTACCCAAGAGCTGCATTTCCTGTCTGCTGAAGGGAACGATTTAAGGATTTTAGTAGTCTCCATGAAAGGAACACATATAGGAAAAGCCATAGGCAATTTACAGTGACAACAATGCTCCCAGAAAACCTCATTGGGGAACAACCCCACATTTTAGTAACTGATAAATCAAAACTGTCCTCACATGTGCTTCTCCAGTGTGAACAGCATCGCTAGCTCTCAGAGGTCCTGAAAAGTATTGGTAAGTATTTCTAACCAGTCTCGTGACTAATAATAGTTGTAACTATTTCTAAGTGGTTTTGTAGTCTCTGTCCGCTTCAAATGACTATTATCTGATGTTGACCACGCAGTTTTTGTCTTATTTCTGGGAAGGCTGTACAGTCTCCTTAATGGAGACAGGAGGGGTTTGGGATCCACTTGTCTCATGCCATTTGTGATGAAATGATTCTTGGATCCTTGTCCCATACAGTATGCTGCAATTTATTTGATTAATAAGCAATTTAATGGATCTATTTCTTTGTTTCCTTCCTGTACTTAGCACCTCTAAGGTAAATGAAAGAAGGAATTTTATGTTTTCAAATATTTTATGTAATTGTTTTCTAGTAATCAAGTCAGAAGAAAAGCACTTCATGGTTCCAAAAGAGAGGTTTAAGGGGTCTCATTGTTGTGGTTATTGCTGTAGTTTCAGTGAAGACATAGCACTTTTCTGTCCCATCAGGGAAAATTACTGTGAAAGAGGGGCAGATCTGCTGGAAATGTTGGTTACCTTAGGGGGAGAAAAACGGCCAGCTTGGAAAGGAAGATGTGTAGAGCATCTGTTACTGATGATGACTTATCAACCCTCACAGTTGTCTGTTGCCAAAACTTATCTTTCTCTGCATGCATCTAGCAAGGGTTTAATAATGATAATGATGAATGGTATATAGTTATCAAAGTGTCTTGAGAACCAAGACCTCAAATTCTAAGTGAAAAAAGATTTGTACTGGAAATAGAACTGTTTACAGGAGGACACTTTTGATTAGCAGTTGCCTCTTTCATGACTTCAGAGGTTTAGAATACTCTAGCGTTTGCATCGATTTTAATGTGTAAAGTAGATACCAGAGGAAGTTAGTAATGAAGAGTGGTCACTTTATGCACCGTGACTGTGAGTTCTGCCTAAACTCTCCTGAAATCCTAAAGCAGCATATTGGAAAAAGATAACACGATTAGTGAATTTGTGTGGTCAAGCAAGTGCTGCCTATTCCACCCATTGGTGCATGTGCTGTAGGGGCAATTACAGACCTGGGCTTGTAATATAGTGACTCCAGGTGTGACCGAGCTGGCGGAAACCGACTGTATAGTTTTTACAGAAACAGTAACTGATATCATCACTGGCCTATAAAACCTACAGAATTACTGTGTGACACTAGATGCAATAATAGGCATGCTAAATTTTTGCTTAAGAGATTTAGTAAGTAGCAATCACTGCCTTGAATGTTTGAATATTAAAATGGCAATTGAGACTAAAAGATGAACATGATGAGGTAATGAAGCTTGTGATTTAAAATTATTAGTAAATGTTAATTTGATTTAAATATTTTATATAAAAAAGAGATAAAGAATCCATTTAGATCAGTAGCTTTATTTGAATAAAATTGAGAATTATTGATTACAAAGAAACAAGGACCTAAGGGGTGCAGAGCTCTTACTACAGCCTCATCAGCATACAACCTCTTGTTGTCTGAGAAACCTTATAATGAATTATGTACTGGGCAGAATTTTCTATTTTTGTATTAATTTTCTTTTGAAAATTCAGTGCACTTTTATCAGTGAAATTTTTGGGACACCAATTTCCAGTCTGTTATTGTTGATGTGGGTGTTGATACTGAGCTTTTCAGAAAATAATTTGTTACCACAGAGTAAGCGTAGACTTTTTGTACAGGATATTCTGTATTTTGAATAGGATGTAGTAGTTAAGCTTTGCTATTAACCTTTAAGTGCTTCTGTAATGCTTACAATAAGATATCTGTGGCATTACCAGCTAAGGATAGTTGTATGTTGCAATTTTGGGGCATCATCGTGCTCTAAGATTTGTGAACTCTATTAACTTTAATGAAGTTTCTCTCTTGATGTACAACTTTTAAGATTAATTCCAAAATCCTATATGCACAGTATATATAAGTTAATTATTGTAAGCTAGAATTCACATTAAAATCATCTATTATTGATTTCACCAACAGAAGTTACTGCCTTTACCTGGTAATGGAGTCTTAAAGTTACTTTCCACCATGCATAAGCACAGGCTCAGATTCATTGATTGGTGCAATGAGGCCAGCAATCTGCCAGCAATATAAAGGTGTAATAGGGAACTATTTTTAAAGAGTGGCTATATCTAACCATGCTCACCTTAGGCTTCTCTAAAATTTAATTTATTTTCTCTCCCTCTTCCTTATTTTCTAAAAATATTGGCCTAAAGATCTAAATCTGTATATAACTGTGCCACCTGTTGGTGTCCCTAGAGAGGGAACTTTGATGTTGAAATTCCCCTTTCCTAGGGGGTTAGGTGGAGTGTAAATTGCTGTAACATTTTATGAAGTGCTACTAGTTTTTCTGCTTGTAATGACTACTTGATTGGCTCATTATTGAAGGGAAGAGGTGGAGCCAAAGCTCAGTTTACCCACTTTATGGGAATAAAGCATTGTGAAAATGACTACAACTTTAACAGAAGCATATTTGAAAATGTTCTTTCCTTTTTATCCCGCTGTTTTGTAATTCATGTAATGTGGTCTAGGTTACTATTTTCTGTCCTTACTTTTTCTCCTTCTTTTTTTCTTGATCAGAAACCATATATCTTCAACATCTCCCCTAACTTCAGATACAAGGGCTTCTCTGTTTTGGGGTTGGTTTTTTTTTTTAGGAAAATTAATGCTCTTTTGAAATGTATTTACTTGCTGGGATCCATGTTCACTGCTATGCCAACACCTTACATTGCAAGATAATTGCAACAACATAAATTCTCAAAATTTATAGACATAAATTTCTGAGAGAGTTATAATCTAGAGTATTGCAGGCTGTGGTATCTTCACAGTATTTATTATATTCATATATACATTCATCAGCATAATGAGGTGTACTTGTATAAATCATTTAAAAATTCAAATAAGAATTAAAACAAGATGATGAATACTAATGTTCTATGATTTGTCATGAAGTGTTGACACAGAAAGTGTCAAATACTCAAGGGTAGAAATATCTGCTTCAAGGTATAGGCAGTTAAATTTATAAATGTATGCTATTTCGCAGATGAATGTTATTAATAATCCTGAAGATTTCATATTAATGGTAATTCTTTGGGCTTCATTTTCTTGCTTCAGAAACTATCACACTTCTGAGTTGCATCACTTAAGATTCATGATTCATACTGTTCCTCATACATACAGACATGTTGGTCTGTTTCTTAAATTACTCCACACATATTAATTTTGTAATTTATAACTTCTTATTGCTACAAAGGAGAACCAATTCCTCCTCCTATACTAAAGCTGTTTGGTAATTTTTATTATGGTTTTCATGATTTATCTGTTTATAATGAGAACAAGTTAAAATTAAATGCAATATATTCCAGCATAACATACCTTTGGTAAACTTAGATTGATGGTTTTCTTTGGCCTTCTTGATGAAGGAAATGTGGTGTGGATTTTTTGTTTGGTTTGTTTTTTTTTTTGATACTGCAACTGAAACTGGGTAAGATAGTGATCAGCTTAAATTTTCATGTGAAGGGCCTTAGCCAAAGGGAGGTAACTGTGGCTGAAAAAGAACTGTCAGGATGGAAGGAGTATATTGTTTATTGCTTTTATTAATGGTGTTAGAATGAAAGGTATATTTATGAAATATGCTAGGGACTTTGAATCATGAAATTAAGTGAAATACAGTAGTTCAAAATACATGATTGTAAAGTTAGGACCAATAAGACTGCCTGCTGTAAGCTAAGGACAATCCTTGATACGGTTTAGGAAGAGAAAGATTGGGTGAATTTGCTTATGGGAGTGTCATTATGAGCCATCTAAATAATGAGGTATGAATCCTGATGTGTCAGAATAAACGTTTGCCGTAAGGGCAGGAGGGTATTCATGTCATCAAGCACTAGCAAGACTCCATGTGGAACGCTGCTGCATACTTCTCATCAGTCATATTCGAGAAGGTTGAATTAAAACTGGAAGCAGGTGCAGAGAGGGCTGGTGGGATAATTAAGGGCGCGGAGTGCTCATGTCACAGGAGGAGTCTAAACAACAGTGGTTTGTTTCTCTGGCAAAAGGCTCTGTAGGGATGCTTGTTCTCTATAAATATGTGAAGGGGTAAGCGCTGTGGTGAAAGAAGTGTGATTTAAGTAAAAGAGTGTTGACACATAATACAGTGGATATAAATTATCCATTAATACATTTAGGCTGAAAAGAGAAAGAAAGGAAGAAAAAGTTTTCTAATTCTCAGAAGAATGAAGGCTCTGGAACAGCTTTTTAAAAGAAACAAAGGGAATGAGAAACCTAACTGCTTTTAAGATGCAGCTTGATAAATTTGTGAACCTGATTATGACGTGTGGCTGCCTGCAATTGCGTGCACAATTTCAGTCTTCAGAACCAGAATATTCCTCACAGTCTTGTGCTCTTACAAGAATAGCATGCTGCTAGCAACCTGTGTGCACAGCATTTCTGTCTTAATTTTACCTTACTTAACATTCCGTAAATATCCATGCAAACGCATTGCTTGTATTGAGTGGCTTCTTAGGGATGAGAACTGTAACTAAGTGCGCTCAGAATGCAAGAAATGCAGGTGTCCTATTGCCTGCTCTGTGCCCTTTGGATTGAATCGGAACGACTGGGAGAAAAAAGGACACTGTACAGGCGTGTGTGAAACTGAGGATGAAAAAGGAGCCGTGAGGCTGCCCTTGCCCACGGGTCCTGACATTGAACACAGCATCCCGGCTGTTGTCTGGAACCTCATTTAATAGGAAGACAAGTTCCTGGCAGGAAAATGGTGCATTCTGAGGAAAAGAACTAGATTAAGAATTGCTTTCTCAGGCAGGGCCATGTTTAAAAATCCATTGTTGTCAATTGCTTTGAGTGCCCATACCGGAGAGACCAGACTGCCTGTCAGGCTGCAAAACGCAATTCAAGACACAGTGGTCTCTTAACTTTACTCATCCCCAGGGACACAGAAGGAGTTTGTGCAAAGGCTGATAAGAGATAGAGCAGGACTAGCATGTTACCTCACCTCCTGTAAGAGAACAGGCTATGAACTAAAATATTGTAATCCTAATCAGATTGCTGCTGGTTTAAGAGTGAAATGCTGTAGCTTGATGATGAAGTGATGAGAACACAGTATAGAATGCAAAATCTTGAATCTCCTTTTCTCCAGTGCTACGTTAGATGGTCAGTCATTTGCTTGATTGAGTCTAGCTTGTCAGCAAAGCTTGCAACAATATAGAAGTTCATTTACAAATACTATATATCTGTCAGACAAAAGCAGTTTGCTTTTAAACAAGCAGACTGGGTTTTTTGTTACCCATTTTGCAGTTCTAAGGTTTGGGTAATAAAGCTATAGATATACATTTAAGCTCTTGGGGTGTTCAACCTACAATTAATTCATTCTGAACCGATTTCGATTTGAATTCTGATGAAAATAAGTCCACACAGCACTGACAATTCATTGCATAAATGACAAAATATCAGCATACAGAATAATTGTGTTGAAAAAAAAAAAAAAGTATTTTTGTGCCTTTTAGAAATTTTCCCTTTCGTAAGTGAATGAAAAGCTGTGCACCAGTGGCAGCTTTAATGATTTGTCTAGCTGGGTGTCAGCCAGGGATTTTTTTGTCTTGCTTAATTGAAAGGGCATGTTAGGTATTTTTTAAAAAATAAGTTATCAAGCATCGGCATATTTTCAGTCATGAAGTGTTAACCTTATTCTTCAGACTGAAGAAAAAAATTGCTCTCAGCTTTGGAAGGGGCTGTATTTCCTGGAGGGGGCAAATCTCTGTTTTTGATTAATAGGTACAGTGCTTTGTGAACTTCTAAATGATATCTTTGAACAAGCTGCCACATTGTTTAGCTGTTTTGGCTTTCATGGGAAGACTTGAACATGGGTCATCAAGCCTATGTTGGTTCAAAGAAAGACTTCGTGGTATATGATGAGACATTTGTGTGGCAGTGAACACTACCAATATCCACCTAATTTATTTGTTCCACTCACTGTGTATATACATTTGGATGGCTATAAATATGGATGGTTCTTCAAGGTCCAGAAATGACAAGGTGCCATTTTACTTTAAAATTTCTGTTTTATTCAGTGCACAGCAAGGATATACTGCTACAGAAATTTTATTTTATTTCTCGCTTTCCCTTGCCTTTCCTTTTCTTTTTTTTTTTTTAATAAAATCTGCTGATATAACATTTGCTTGTTATATTTTTGAAGAACTAATGTGTTCCTCCCTTTATTCTCTTTTGCTGTCTTCCTCCCTATTTGTTTTTCTCCAAACTGCTGCTTTCATCCCTACTCCAACCAGCTTGACTTCCAGGTCAGTATCTTCTGCTCTCCTATTTAATTGCTCTTTCTGCAATGAAGGCTTTCGTTGATGCTTCATTTATTTGGCCATTTTGATTTCGTAGTAATAACTTCTGTTTGTCTCTTTTTGGGTTTTGTTTTTATTCTGCTTGTCCCCATTGTGAAGTTTTTGGTCGTTCCATTTCTAGATCAGAAACTTTACAGTAAATAAATGTTTTTGTCAAAAATCAGTAAGAAAAAAATGTTTATTAACAACATATTCAATTCATATGTTGTTTTGTGTGAAGATTTTTTTCTTCTTTCAGTTTTACTTTTATTATCTTTGTATAGGGATTTCAACATTGGGATCAACTTTTTGGTGGACAACCCAACCCAGTAGGTGATGGATTGAACAATAACAATAGTATAGAGAGAGATTTATTCTTAAGATCAGTGACTTATTCTTAATACTTGACCATCACCACTTTTACTGTTATTGCAGACATAATAGGATGTATTGCAGTGGTTCAGCTTCTGGTTCAGAAGCTTTTAGCTCTTTCTGCTGGACAGATTCTGGACCAGAACATAACTGCAAGGGAGGTGTATGTATGTGTATGCTTTATATGCTGTGTTTGTATGTAGTATTATCTAGTCAGATTCATGTTTTTCTTTCTTCCAGGTTTTAGATTAGTTTAGCTAGGGTTTGTACTTGTGCACCGTTTTTCAGTAATCTTATCATCTTATTAAGTATTATGTCTTTTGGTGCTTGTTGGAAGTAAAAATTGATTGTCAGCATTTTTTTTTTCCTCTTAGTAGGCCTCAATGTTAATTTTTCTTCCCCAATGCTTATGAATGGCTGTAAAGTGTAAATTAGTGAAGTGTTAAAACATCGAGAAACTAATAACTTTATATGGTTTGGACTACAGGGTCATCTCTTGCTTTCTTTCCCCATTTGTTTCAGAGTCGCTATTTTTTTCTCTTTTTCCTGTGACAGGTCTTTAAGGCAGTTCTGTACTCTTAAGCTCGTCCCTTATTTTTCATTTTTTGGAATTGGTGATTGAAACTTGCACAAAATTTTGTTTGCTGTACTGAACGAGCTTTGCTTTAGGCAGGAACTGAGCTGGTTTTCAATGAGTATCAAGGTAGAAAGTGTTGACGTCTTCATAGATCGGTCGGACTGGAGTATAAAGGAGGGTGTATACTGCAAAGACGGTCCAGGTGGATTTCACCTACCAAAGTTCTGCATTTGCAGATGTGGTTCCAGGTATCAGGTTGCCATGAAGTACATTTGACTAGAATCATGGCAAATGTCCAATCTGCCTGTATAGTACGTTCAGAGCTGAAGTTTTCAGAATTTTTATGTCAATGTATACTTTTTGCACAGCATTGTTCACATTTCACAGTTCAGATGTATCAGAGAAGTTTCAGACGTAGATGCCTTCAAACTGTATGGCAAAAGATGGGTCATTATGAAAAGATTGACAAGACAAGGGTTTTTTTTTTCCTGATGTGCTTTAATGCACATTGCGATCGCAAGTTACTTTCCAGCTGGAAAATTTTGTTTCTGAAATTAGAGGCTTATTGATTGCAGTAATGAATGAGAGAAACGCTTTCTTTTTATTGTCTACTACAAGCACATTGTAATGTGCTTGATTGGATAGTTATTACACCTGAATTATAAAAAGAAATACTTAATTTATTTTCAGAATCTTTCTTTCTTCCAGAAATTAATTAAATGAGTTTACTCTGGAGTTGTCTATGATGAAGTTATTGTCTGAATGGATCATTCTGGCATTTCTATCAGAACATACTCAACATTGATTGAAAATCTCTCTAGCCAGAGAGAGCTTAAAAAAGGTTTTATGCCATGCGATTGTCATTATGGTTGATTTCACTGGAATTCAATGATTGGTATGCAGAAACATTTGTTCAGCAGTTGGAGGTGCAATTTCTGTTATGTTTTATTGACCTAAAAAACCAGCTGACCTTGCTGAAGCAAACTGTCCTCATAACCCTGCCAACTTTCATCCCTAGAGTCCTAAATAAGTTGTAGCGTATGATTAGAGTTTATTGTGGGATTTCAATGAAGTGTTAAGTTTTCGCAGCTTGAATCATCATTAAGGTCAAAACTTAATTTAAGAAACAGATCTATTAATTTCTTTAATTTCTGCTAATCAATATGTTCTTAGCTGTCATTTTATTCATCTCTATTTATATGAGGTTAGAATGATTAGAAAAATGGTGGATCTGTTTTATACCATGGTGGGCTATTAATACTGATGGCAATCAAGAAAATGCATTGGCATAACCCCTTCCCTATACAATACCCTCTACCTATACAATATAAAAATGTTCTGAGCACAAGAATCAGTACAGTAATTTTTTTTTTTTTTTTCATTTAAGTTACAGCAGCTTATATACTTCCCAAACTTTTCTGGCTGCAGATAAAGAGAACATGGATATTTTTCCCATGTATAACATACTGACCAGTGCTGGAAATTTTCCCACCAGCCTCCGGTGTTGGCCTTCCTAATTGTTTCCGTGGGAGGCTCAATCAGATGTGTAAGGCAAGGTTTAACAGAGTTTTAAATTTAACTTATGAGCCTTCCACAGTTTTGTCAAATGTCAGTTTGATGGTTCCAAGGGCAGAGTGATATGTTGTTCAAAGATAATTTCCCTGGAGAAATTGAGATAGTGTACTAATGAAAACTGAGAGAATCCGTGATATACATTACTCTTCTGAGGGACTGGTTATTCTGAGTGAGAAACATAGTTGTCACATTGGATAACGGGCAGATTGTTGTCATGTCTTTCTGTTTTAGTTCGTTTGCTACATATACAGAACCAACATTTTAACAACGTGAACATTTTAACATTTAAACATTTTGAGAGAGATGAAGATTTAAGATGGGATTAGAGTTTTCTGATTACATGTGGGGTTTTGAATTTGTGTGCATTTACATTTCATTATACTTAAGAAATAGTATAGTAGAAAGTTTATTTCCTTGGAATTCTGCTTAATTAAAAAAAAGGAAAATAATATATTACAAAATAAGCAGAACTCATCGTGGTAAACAGTAAAAAGATACAAATAAAGCATTGTTGTTCATTTGTATCCCACTCACTCCTGAACCTGTCTGCTCAGTTCTTTTTGACCTTTCAGTTTGCTTAAAGACATGCAGAGGTTAAAATAATTTCTGAGACAACTAGAAATTGATTCTTTAAATAAAGAAGGAGATTTTGCAATTTCTCAGTCGTGCTTTTTTTTTGGTTTTGATTTGGAGTAGAAATACTCTGTGGAAGTAAATGGATATGCAGCACAAACTGGATATGAGGAGAAAAGAGCTCTACATCTCTGAAGGAAAAATATCCACTATGGATTGGGTTGAACCTGACTTCTGCGTTGGGGAAGAGAAGAACAGAAGGAACTGCTACTTTTTTCATTTCACGGTTCCTAATTCCAAGACAAAGCAATATTTCTTATGGTTCTCTAGACCTGCTGCTTCCACTAGTTTTCTCCAGGGGGAAGATCCACAGAGCATATTTCTTTGTCTCTTGAATGTGTGAATGAAGTAGCCATACAGCACTCTTCTGGGGAGCTTGGTAACTGCCTGGGTGCAACGCTGTCAGGATTCCTTGTGTACAGTGGAGGGGGGTGTGTGTGAAGAATCATTGTGAGATAGCACAGCTTACCCTCAAAAAGCTGTGACTGAAAAGAGACAGGGGAGCTAAATTTAGGAATTGGACTGTTTGTGGAACCACTTCTTCCACTCATATTTTTTGCTTCCATCATGCAGGAGCAACATGACTGGACAATGTGATTGCGACTGGATTGAAATGCTCTGATCTGAATTTATAATAAGGGGAAGTTAGTATGTCAAAACAAAAAATTGTACAAAGTGTACCTGATTTATTTGGAGGTCTGAACAGGTTACTGCAAGAGCATGGAAAGTTTGATTTATGCGTTGAATGCTAATGGCTGGATTTATCCTGAGAACTGCTAGATTGAGCCGGGAGTTGCAGTTGAAAGATTTGATTCAGAAAGAAATTGCAATGAAACATGAAGTGCAGCAAAGGCGGTTTTTCGTGATGGCTGTCAGGCTGAGCTGGGCATGCTGTGGAGCAGTTGGATGCAGATAATAACAGGACAGACTTGAGAGTCGATGGGGATTTTTTGTTGGGTTTTTTTTTGTTTGTTTGTTAGGGTTTGTTTGTTTGTTTGTATGTTTTTGGAAGAAAAAAGCTTACCTGGACAACAGCTAGAAAAGACCTGATGAAGCAGGAGCAGGACTGCAACTCCTTAGTTGCAAATACCAGGCAACAAACTATTTCCAGTTACTGTTATCGCTAATGGTATCAATTAATAAAATAGCTGAGCAAGCAATTGCCGTATTAAATCAGATCAAATATCCTTCTCATCTAGTGTCCTGTCATCAGCAGTATTTTTTTTTTTTTTTAAAGAAGAACATCAGAAGAAAATGCAGAACAATCCTTGGTGTACGAGAGATGTGTGACAGATGAGTCTTCTGGTACGGATTTCACACATGTTCATTTAAACTGTCATCCAGTAAGAATGTGCTGAGAAAGACGGTAGTGCAATGCACTGTATTGGAGTTTCAGTGGTTGCAGGCAGATATGTGTTGAAACAAAGTGATATGAACCATAGTTTGGAACAAAATTTTACTAGGTCTTTTTCATTCATGCATTATCCTCATGTGGATATTTCTAGCATCTCTCTAGGGCTTTGGAGGGAACTGTGTCAGACTAAACACTTCTTAAACAAAGATTTTGGAAAACTTCCCAGATTGTGTGTTAGGTAAACCCTTCCTCCCACGTTTTTGTCTTTGAGGTGAGAACTGTTTCAGTGACTTCTGTGACACTTGCTTTATTTCTACCAGGCAGAGTTCTTGGTTCTCTCAAGGCAACAATATATTCTTTTTTTGGTGCGTTTGGAGGCAAAAAAGTTGTCACACTGAAGCACTATCATAATCTGAGTATTAAGAAATCTTAAACTAGGCTTCAAACATTTGAGAT